CTTCTTCTTGACCCTGGGGGAGTTTAAGTCTGTAAATGATACCCGTATTGCACCCTAAAGTGTTTGACTGTGTCCGACTGAGTAGTAGTAGTAGTAGTAGTAGCAGTAGTAGTAGTAGTAGTAGTAGAAAAAGAAGTAGAAGTAGAAGTAGAAGCAGCAGTGATAACAGCATCGTAATATGGCAGCGCGAGAAAACCGAGCCTGTTAACTGGCGAAACAGTAGCTTCAACAACGTGACAACTGTAAAGTAAAGTTAGCTTTCTCGTAGATTGCATCGTCAGCTCTTGCACTGCTTTACTTTAAGCGCGCGAGCCACGCAAAAAGGGTGGGATGCAGAACAGGCGTGTAGATTGTGTGGGCTGCCTGAAGCTGTGAACGGTTGTGGGCTTCAGGCTTGAGTCTTGGGCGCGTTGGTCAAGGAGCTGATTTCGGGGCTTCACCACATGTCGCTTCTCGAATACTTGCGGTCAACCTATTTCCTTTTTTCCATTCACGGCAAATCATCGGTTCTCCTTCTTGAAGTTGTTGATTGATAAGTTGAGAATGCGTAACTGTTCTGTTGCCGCCAGACCGACGCGCTGACTATATCCTGTCTTATAGGCTTCACCCCGACCCCCGTCCGATTGATGAGGAGCCCAGGAAGAACAATGCCAAAGATGTAGGTTTTAACATCCATTTAAAACGAGTTCCAATCTAGTTAGAATCGTTGCTCCGAGAAACATTGATATCGTCCGGGCATATTTCAATTGTGGGTCTTGTTATAACTGTGTTCCGGGTGCGGGATTCTAAAACATGTGCGGTTAGTCCTTAATGTGGAGTCAACATTAGGCTCGAGCTCCAGATGTATATCCCACAAACTCAAACAAGAGTCCTTCCATTGGGCAGATGTGAGTGGAGGTACCCCTGACTACTAAAGCGGAGACAGTCGCCTGAAGCCCGAGGTTGGTTGCATACCTCATCCCATCCTCAAACACGAAATGGTGAAGGCGTTTGGCAGTGGAGTCTTTGACATCATCCATAGCTCCAATGCCATTGACCACTCGCACGACCCCATTGCGGTATCTATACACTGTTTCAGCAGTTGTTGCCCGTGAGTTGTTTAAGAATGGCTGGTTGCACTATCGCCTTGCTAATCAGTCAAGGCTCCGCTACGGTTATGCCTCAGGTACTAAATCGTTAGCCTTCAACATGGGTGCCGTATGTGGGGAAGGGGGGGTGCGGTTCAGCAGTTGGCGAGTGTGGCTGCGCAGGGCCACATGGTCAGGCCTTAAACAAAGGTCATCCTCTCATGCAAGTTACTGCAAAAGATGTGTAAGAACCTCACCCAGACTTGGACCACCCGGATCCTGCATCTCTCCCACGTCTGAATTCCGCAATCTTCTAGCCTGCAAGCCAGATATACGTCATCATATTGCTCAAGAATTGAGACTTGAGGGCATGGGGGGGCCTGGCCCAGTGTAGAACCTAGACAACCTGTAGCGTGTGATACCTGACAATCAGGCATTGAAGGGCCTCCTCCGGTCGCTTCGCCCGGGACGACCTCTGTACCTGCAGCATTGGGAGAATGAGGGACAAAGTCAAAATTACACAGGCCATGTCGGGGTTCCACTGGCTATGCGGTTGACCACTAACTCAGCATTGTCCTGGTAGTTGCAACTCTAGTTCCAGTATATATCACTGATGACCTTCAGCCTGTATAACAGTCCGTCAACGTAACACGCACAGCACCACCTGAACCCTATGAACCCCGAATTCCTGTGTTTGTTGATGGATCCCTATATGTACCCCATGTACGGCAACAACCCCCTGTTTATCGCTCTGCGATGACAGGCTTTCACCTATGGAACCTGGAGCTTCGTGCTGGCCGGCTTATTCTGTGGAAGCCCAGCGGTACCCGAGCTGTGAGGGTTGCAGATTTATTGCTCGCTTTGGAGACTAGGTTTGAGTGTCATACACTAGAGTTTGAGGAGTCTGGGGATGCCGGCTATGCGGAGCTTAGTGAAATAGAGCAGGTACAGTAGTCATGTTCTGGGTGCAGGGCCTGCTGCATGCAGGATTTGAAGTGTGTATGTACAAGTCGGCGCGCGTGTGTGTGTGTGTGTGTGTGTGTGCGCGCGTGTGTGTGTGTGTGTGTGTGTGTGGGTGTGTGGGGGGGGGGATGGGGTGGTGCATGCATGCATCAAACCTCTGAGGCCCGAATGAAACGCGCTTCGCAGGGACACTGCAGCCGCAGATGTCTAGGTCAGGGCCAATGCGTCTGATTTCAAACCTTTCTTGTTCCGACAAACCCCAACCAGTCAGTCTTGCAACAAGAAAGGATACTCCTGCACAATACGCGTGAGCAGCCGGAGCAGCGCTTGGGAACCCACCTAAAGCTCAGACAGATATTCCACTCACGCAGGACCGTTTTGCATTGTCCAGGCAGCAAGACACAGCCAAGGTGCTGGCAAGGAGACCTATGATGTGGAATCCTTGTTCCTTAGCATGCCGAAAACATTGCTTTGACTATTTCTATTCCTGGGTCCATGAGTTCAATGAGCATGGACTGCGAGGGTTCCTGAGCATTGTTGTTTGACAACTCCAAGATCTGACATCCTGAGCCCATCTCCAGCATCTCAAGAAAGATGGTGATTCTTTGGGGGGGTTCTCCGTCCAACAAGGCATGAAGATGTTTTGCTTTGGGGGACAGAGCCGTGACGGGCCGTGACTGTTGCCCAAACGAGCCGTGTGTTAGAGTTTTCTCGTTCGAGGCTTAGGGTTTGTGTCTTTGGCTGCTGCTCTTCACCACCTAATGAGCGAATGCGACTCGGGAAGAGGGTTGAGGTTGGCTGGGCCTTTAGATTCCGGGATGATGAAAGAGTCCTTCATCCTGAGCAGGAGCCCTAAACACCCGGACAGGTTTCATGGAAGTTGAGAGCCAAAACCCTCAACCTGGTACAGCCTACACCTCAACTCAGGTTGGTTGCCGAAGGGCTGCTGTCGCCAGGAGGCTTAGAGCTTGAGCTGCAAACCACTCTGCGAGACAAGCGCGCAACGAAGCAGGTGATTTCTGTCCTGTGGCGGAAAGACAGCCCTCATGGCTCGTCGAACCTTTAGACAGACAGGAGCGCTGTGAATGGCCAGCTGGCCAGAGTATTCCACACCTGTGACGCCTTGGGAAGCTTGCGGAATACAGACGGATTCTGTTTGCGGAGTGGGCATTTGGACTGATGAATTGCAAGCCTGGCCACCTTCAACCCGTGCTTCCTGGGGCGAAGTGGTAGGCCTTCTGGAGCCATTTCAACAAGTGTTGCGAGAACTGAAAAAAGCGGTCTCCATTTGCTTTGGATTCGGGATGTGGGGTGGGAAGTCCTCTTGACAAGTGTTGTTGTGAGGAAGTATGCGCTGATTGAACGTTCTTACTTGTAGAAATCTGTAATTGAATGCTCTCTCTGCCCAGTCCGGTTACCAGCGAGGCAGCTGCCAGAAGCAAGGGACTGCAAGTCAGGCTTTGTTTCAGGTCGCGTGCCTCAAGACGTGACCCCTATCCACATGCCACAGCACCGACAGCGGCTCGATAACCTTCCGAGCAGGGAGGCGGTTCAAAGCATCTCCCACCCTGCAACTGCCAATCTCTAAATGGCTTCTGTTTTGAGTGGCTGTCATGTGTCCGCCCGCTAGGGGCCTCAAGATGCTCAAGCAGAGAGGTATCACCGTGGCTGCAGTTATAGAATCGGAGTTTCCTGGCCTGCCGTGCCGGCACTTCAATCCTCTCTGATACCTGACCTAGAGCTATGCCTCGAGCCATCGATCCAATGATAAGCCACGACTAAGTCCTAGTCGCACTGTCTATCTTCAGCTGTTATTCTGAGTCGCAGGGCATACTTGGAAATGAAGCGTTGGTCCCAAAAAGCAGTCAAAATCTCAGTCGGGCAGGTGCTCAGGTCCATGTGGGACCGCTACGCGATGCCCCACCAGGCCTTGGAAGGGTTGCAGGCTTGACAGGACGATTTGCAGTTCGAAGTTTGGGCTTCAGAGGGTCAGTGGGATCCGTGCGGAATGATTTCCACCTAAACTCTAGATGGCAAGCCAAGGAGCGCGATACCACAAAGTTGTCCCTTCTATCTGGTTCGTGAGTGTAACTTGGCGGGAACTACCCGTCTTCTGATTATTGGTCTTACTATCATTATACATGCTATTTTTACTATCATCATTATAATTTTCATTATTGCGCCACCTCCCATGTTGTCCATTCCCAACACCATGCTCTCTGGCATTGCCATCAACACCACTGTTTGCAGTGTTTAAGTCCTTACCAGTGCAACTGCCAGCGCCAGTGGCTGGGATTGTTTTCTGGGTGAGCCCAGGTCCGGTTTTTGCAGGGCGCACAATCTGAATTTCAAGCCCCGAGCCAAATCCCATAAGCTCCAAATCCCACACCCTCGACCTCACATACTGAAATTTTGTACTGAAACTAGATTACCACGAGCTGCACTACAGGGGCGCATTGACAAGTGGCAGCTCCTGGCATCTTGGCTTATCAAATCTCGTGTTCAGACGATTATGAAGCGTCCAGTGCAAAACTCCATGACAATCCTTGGGATTGCTGCGTCATGGTTCCAGGCTAGTCGGAAACCATTCTTGCTCAGGATCTTCTAAAGGCGATGAATCAGCCGCCGGAGAACGAGGAGGAGAGTCTGTGGGCTTGATGTTTTCAGGCAGCACGCGATGGATCATGTTCTTCCGTGCGTAGCCCTAAAATGGCTTAAAATGGTATAGACCGGAAGACAGAGATAGTTTTCCCTCCTTTGAGTCCACCTTAGCGGTCCCACCCTCAACCGCAAGGCCCTCCATTGCATAAGTAGTTGCAACTTGTCGCTTTGTGGTGTTGCGGGCTTATTCAAATCAACTGAAGATCCCCACGCATGCTGATCCTCACCTCTGCTGCACCCATACCAGGTTTTATGTTAGCTTTGTCGTGTAGGGCCATGTTTTTTTTTAAGGTTTGGCTCTACCCTGGTTTGGCTCGCCCGTTGAGGATTTCCTACAAGTTCTTGCTTTCAGTGGCTCTTGGTTCTTTACCCCTCGAACGAAAGAAAGAAAGAAAGAAAGAAAGAAAGAAACAAACAAAGAACAAAAGAAAGATGTAAATAAGGAAAGAAACAAAGACAGA